ACAGGTCTAGTCATGACATAAATAGCGGGAGATTAACTGAGACATCTAAATGGGAATTAGGAAAACAAAGCTACCTCAGTCTCACTTCCTGAATTTAACAGCGTTGCCAGTAATCAAGTGTCGTCTCTGATTTACCTCGAAACATTTCGATTCGTGATTTTCTTTCCCTAGATCCACCTGAATGCAAAATCACAGAACGAGGAGCGGAGTATGTGGGAAAGAGAAACGTGACGATATCCGGGGTACCCTGTCTACCTTGGCTCATGATCACATTTTTTTTCACGTTTGATGGGATGACCCTCAGGATTCCCGATGAAGTAGATGGAAGGCATGCGTATTGCCGCAACCCCGAAGGAGGGGGCTACGGTCCTTATTGCTACACCAGCTTCGAAGAGAAACGTTGGGGGTATTGCGACGTTCCATATTGTCCAAACGTTGACAATGAAACATGCGATGTTCGAGTCGCAGGGCAGTGTGTCAGTGAGTAACGAAGTTTCATATTCCCACTTATTTTGGTCATGTGTAACCCAGAGCATGTTTCCCATTCCACATGTTTTGAACTATAAAGACAAAACTGCGAGACCTACAGGGGAGTGAAAACATTATGTAGAACGACGCACTTCCAGTCGCAGTACGCAATTATTTTGCCTTTCATATATATACTAGCCGACACGTGGAAGACTTCCATAAACTTTGGCTCGGCCCAGACGAAGGGTCTCGGGGTGTTAGTGAAGGGTGCTAGTTGATTTTGTCCGACTCACGAAGATCTATTCGTGAGTCGGACAAAATTAAAGTCGGTATATTAAACCTGTTAGCAGTTGAAGCTTTGATAAGAGATTTGCACATGCAAATCTCACACGCAACAAACCAACCTGAAGGGTTCCAACCGGCCCACAGCTTCTGTTTGACACCATTGGCCCACGCTAAGTGCGTGAAATAGTCCAGAATTCGCACGAGTTCGCTCACTTCCCTCACTAAAATTGGGACCGTGTTTAACCCTTGAAGTCCCCTGTCATTTCGCCGATTGTCCAGAAGCTGGTGTCGTCCGCAAACTGATTCCGTGAATGTGCACGAACTAGAACAAAGCATAGAAATAGTGGAAAATTCACATATAGTTATTGAAATACCTATTCGTGGAAACAATACGGAATTTTAGAATACCGACTATATAACTGTAAAAGGTGACGTCATGCTGAAACCAAACACGTAGTTCTCCATTGACTCCAAGGACCATTTGTTCGACTTCCATGATTTGTTCGACTCCTCAACAAGTCTATGAACTAACTCCTTTACCCCACCTCACTCTACGAACTCTTTGAACCCTTGTATTGCTTTCCAGGCCCACGGGAATGCAAGACGGACGTGAAGGGGAAGGCATATATTGGAACGAAGAATGTGACCCGCAATGGGCACAAATGCCTCCCGTGGATGAGCAAATCACCGTGGAACCAAGGTCCCGGATGGGGAACTTATGATATATATTACGACGATTCTTTTAGTATTACTGAAGAACAATTTCATACAGTAGATTTGGTACGGGACGACATGCACGCAAAACACAATTTCTGTCGGAACTTCATGGGAGACGAAGACGGTCCTTGGTGTTTCAAGAGCGATGGGATTGGACGGGATTATTGTGATATCCCCATCTGTTCATGAGACGTTCCACGCAACCCAGTACATTATTTTCGCTCTGTTAGGCTTAACATTCACGCACCAAAGAACGCTCTCATGTTTTTTTTTTTCCGAACAGGTTTTCCGTTTGAACTGGTTATTATTCCCTTCAGGTTCGTGCCCCGTCTCCATCATAGCAAGACACTTGGTCTTCTTGACGGCCATGAAGAACCACAGTCATTATATCAGCCATAGCACGTGGGCATGACCTTGTATTTTTGAGGGAGTGAATATGCACTTTTGAATTCACATTTTGGGTCAAATATTTCATTGATCATATATATGTGACACTGCGAAATTGAAGGGATACGATCTCATCCGAACGCTCCACATTTTTTCCGGAAGTGTTATGTTAAAAATATCCGAAATTATTTGTATTTCAGCCTTACGTAATATGCACTGGGAATGGAGTTGTTTGATTGGGCTTGGGCAACTTCATTTTTTATTGTTTGTTTTTCCCCTGGGCATTGCGCATATCCACCGTGATGAAATTCCAAGAAGTGGCGGCGAGTGTTTGAAAGTGCGGATGATGTAATGATATGGACACGAAGAACGGGTTTTTCCATTGGGAGACACGAACCTTAGACTTTCGCCGCCATTTAAATGTATTTCCACAAGGCACACAAGCAGTCCACAACCTCTTATTATGTATGCCACAACATTTCCGTGACATGCGTCACATGCAGTGACAATTTTCGAAATTCGTGCTCTGAAAAATCCTATTTGCCATTCACAAAGAATTATGCATTGAATTATTCACTAAGCTAAGGCCTGATGTTTCATTGAGGAAGACCGAAATCATCCGAAAGGAAAGCATTTTTGGCCACAAACAGAAATTTTCCGTCTGGATTAACGAAAGCAGTTTTTTTTGAGCGATCAGATCAAGATCTTCCGGACTTCATCAGATAACGCGCAACGAATTTGAACTGTACTTAGTTTGGCCTTGCCAAAAATGGCGACCTGACTGATGATTTTACTGATTGGCAAAAAATCGGCGAGGAATGATTTTCCTTGTATTTTCGCCCCGGTGACGATGAATAAAACTGCTGCACACATTCCATGATTATATCTTCTTTAAAGGCCAACCCATGTTCATGATCGTCAAAAAGCTGGTATCGTCCACACACTGGGTCCGTGAGTGTCCACACAATGGAACCAGGCTGTTCACAAATAGGAACAGCTTGGAGATCCACATATATAGTTAATTAAATACCTATAGTTGGAAGAGTATGGAATCAATACTAAATTTTTGAGTAAGTATATGTAGCTACTAACGAGTTTGTTTGCATGAAGTGTGATATCGAATATCAGCTTTTCGAAAGACACAAACAAAATGGTTTTTAGACGTTTCCAAGGCGGCAATTTTTGTTTCCTTCATGCGCTAAGGACAAAGGACTGACATTTGAAGATATGATGGTTTCAAACATACCGATTCGAACGACAGGCGCAAAATTCTCTCCGTTCCACGACAACTATGATGTTGAAAATTATTTGGACTGGAAATTCTTTTTCGGCGTCTGTAGCGATGGAGCTGCTGCCACGCCAGGCTAATGCTTAAATATCACGCATTAGTCAGTTTCTTAAAGGGAGCATTCATTGTCAGCTTAGGAGACTAGTAAATAGCATATTTTTAATGCTAAACATATTGTGTACCCATAGGTAGTCCAAAAGTCCGGTTTCATGCATACACAAATTCTCCGCGTCGGCAACCCAGCCGAGTTGCCCCCACGGCGACGGCGACCAGAGGCAAGTCACCTGGACGCCGCGCGATCCGAGAGCCGAGAACGCGGGCTCTCCGTTATTCCCCGGCGGAAAAGAATCCTCGCGGGTGCGTTATCTTTCCGTGACACAATTGTTTTCCAACAGGTTTTTTTTTTTTCGAGCAAAAATTCCACGGATTTTCCCCCTCCAATGGCAACCACACACGATTTTAGGATTTTCTCTCGGGCTGAAAATTTTATGTGGCATCCGGTCTCGCAAAGCAAAAAATTTACCCGCGGACGTAGGATTTCCCCTCGATTGAGCAATTTAGCACCTGAATATTTTCCATAGTTATTCTATTCATGGAAACGATTCGATGGAGCGAGAATTTAGAGGGGAAACGTCTCCCCTAAGTAATTCGGCAAAAGAGCACGTATTCCTCGAGTAGGATTATTCCAAAAAAATCGTCAATTTACATATTCGTCTGGGTTTGCGCGCCTGTTACGCGCGAATTTCCCTTTTGCTCATCAAAATGGTTTAAATATCCTAATGCCTTATACCATCTCGTAGTGCTGATGCCTTCGTCAAAAGTGCTAATGAGGGCAAAAAAAAACAGTTCACGAAATCCTCCAACTCCTTCATGCCTTGAATGAAAAAAAAATTTTTTTTGACCGCTATCCGTCTTCGACAGCCATCGTATTCGCATCTCTCTCCCCCTCTCCATAGGCCCGAGGCGCTCCCTGCCCCGTCGGAACGCTTCGCGCTCGGAGGAGCCGGAGGGGCAGAATGCGAGACCATGGCACTCCGTCAGTAATTTCAGGGAAAAAAGGGAACATATGTTTCACGGGAAAAAATTTGTTATCACAGCCAATTTAGGGAAAATTAAATTTATTTTCCAATTAATTTCACAGACCCAATATACTGTATATCTTACCGCAGATATATTCTAAAGAGACGTCCGTACCGTCAGAGGATTTGGCGCGAATCAAATGTTCACTCTTAATAGAAATAATAAGAAATCCTGTTGGGGTTTTGTGGGACAGAGATTTCAACTGGTCTGATTTTACAAGGTAACGGATGAGCCGCTGGCGTCTCCGGATTAACCACCCGATGGATTAACCCTACCGGTTCTGCTGAATCGGCGAACGTTCCTCAAGCGATTCTTCAAAGAAAGAGTCTGGTTTGTTCAAGTATTCCCTTGGTATCCGATGATACAAACAAACTCTAGCGAAAATGGTCGAAGCGAGAACGACGCCCTTCAAATTTATATAGCCTGAACCCGCTAATATCACTCGAAGGGCAAAGGGTTGTCTTTTCGCTCGCCTGCCACCAAGAGCCGACAATGATTCCCGAGTTTCATCAAATGTGAATAGCTTTTTGAGCTGCGCATGATGCAAATAGAAACCGTAAAATCTGACAATATATTGCATAGCGGAGATCAGTAATTCGCAAACGAAGAGGGAGCAATGGTTGCAGTCGTCAATGAGGAAGTCTTCATCAAGTCTTCATCAAGTCTTCAAGTCTTCATCGAGTATTCAAGTCTTCATCAAGTCTTCATCGAATATTCAAGTCTTCATCAAGTCTTCAAGCCTTCATCGAGTATTCAAGTCTTCATCAAGTCTTCAAGTCTTCATCGAGTGTTCTTCCACATCGTCTCTTCGATCCACGGAACGAACCTGGTAATGGCAAAATAAAATTCTGATATTCGTAGATGAGTGCGAAGACAGACGCGAGGGGAAATACACGCACCGATTGACCCGAGTGAATACGCTGTATTGGCCGGGTTGCCTCGCCGAGCATTCCTCCTTGCTGAAGAAGTGGCTCACGATGCCCTCCACCGACCAGCGGCTCTCCAGCGATGGGTGCGAGGGGAAGACCATTGGGCTGCCCGAATCCCCGCGGCACACCGTTTGGTATTCTGTTTTGCGACACACCCGGTTTCCCCTCTTTCAGTGGGTTTTGGCACTCGCCCGAAAAGTCGGGTGCAATTGATTTGGGGAAGCGTTTGCCGATTTTTTCAGGATGGGATTGATGGTTCTTGAGCAGTACCGATGTACCGTAACCGTAAGAATGAGATCGTATTTGATTCTATTTCTTACTTGAACCTTCTCCATAAGAAATTTGTCGTCGTTCATTTTAAAGAGTCTTTGTTCGATATAACCGGGAGCTCCACTTGGGTCAGGGTGGCGTCTCGCTTATTGGAGCCGTTCAGGCCCCAACCAGCCACCTGCCACCGAACATCGGAAACGATCAATGTTCGCACTGAAAATAGCGTAGTTCCATGAAAATAGACTGGCTTCATGAAAATAGCCTGGTTTAAGGAAAATACCATTATTTCATGAAAATAGCCTGGTTTCACGAGGGAGAGTCATGCAGGTTCATGCAGCGAAACGAAGGCGTCTCACCCATCCTCTCGTCCCGTTCTCGAGCTTGGAGTCCTCGAACCGGGCCGGGAGGCAGACCAGCTGGACCTGCGAGGTGAGCAGCGCCGGGACTTCCAGCTTCAGGAGAGCGACGTCCGAATCGAAGTTCAGCAGACTGAAGTCTGGCATGAATATCTCAGACACCTGGGGGAAGAAATTGCGCTGAACAGGCCGACTCAAGGTTTTCGTTATGAAATACAGATGTTAATTGATTAATCCTGTTAATTGCCTCGCAAAGTGTGTCAAATGTTTCTATGTTACCTGCAGGATCAGAGGCGTTTCCACCACGTCATGAATTTCTGCTCTTATTAATCCCTCGGCACCATATTTGTACGAGAATATTTGTCGCTTTTCAAGTCTGCAATCCGTCATAACCAGCTACAACTTGAACCAGAGCTGCTGGTCAACCACACACAGGTTAACACACAATCCGTGCCTCTCAATTAAAGACTAAACCTGATGTCTCCATCACAACCACGCACTTCTAAGGAAATTGTAACTGAAGGATCGGAGGAAACCGAAACGAATGCGAGAAGTTTAGATTTTTTCCCCGCGAAATTGTCCAATTGCAGTCCTCTCCAGTTTAACCGGCTTCATGGGAACAAGCCCTTTTATGTTTGGCAGTAAATGTAAAAAAAAGTCCAAGTAAGCAGACCATGTTATTACAGTCATTCGCAAAAAAAAACAAGCAAATGTAGTGGCATATATTGTTGGACGGCAAGAGTGTCCAATCGAAGAAATTAGACAAGAGAATACAGGAGAATACAAGAGAATACAGGAGTCGCCTAATTATTGGATCGTTTGGAGCCTCCCCTTTCAATGTCTTTGCCTCCCAGTTGACGCAATGCATATACAGGGTGGTTCAGAAGTAATAGGGCAGTTAGTGGTACAATCCGCAGTCGCAACAATTTTTATTTGCAAGACTTCAAAGCCCTTCATATGGTTGGGCACCGTGTCTCGCTTTATCGACCGGTCAAGCTGCGCCCTAAACGGCGGCACGTCTCACTCTTGTTTTCCGTTTTGTAAAATGTATTCACAATAAAGACACGCTCTTCGGTTGTGTACCGTTGGTAATTATGATGCTCCATGCTTCCAACCTCTATGATTAGTGGTTATGAAATTGAAGTAAACTTCAAATAATAATGAAAATAATGATAATAAAATTATAATAAAATTGTAGCGACTGCTGATTCCACCACCAACTGCCTGAATCACTTCTGGGCCACTCTGCATTTTGGGGTGAGTCAACGAGCCATTACATCATGTGATATATTCTTTATCATTTGATTATCTCGTATGCACATCAGGAGTTCAATTTATATGTTCCTGCAGAACATAATACGCAATGCTCGGATTTGCTTCAGAGTACCATTCTCCGCTGGACGTGTTCGTTGTCCAGGGAGTCGTTCCTGTAGTATTTCCCCAGGTAGACGACGAAGTCCTTCGCGCTCCGCGTCCTCGTGGTCCCGTCGACGGTGATGCAATGCGCCGCCGTGAGCACCCAGCGCTCCGCGATGAGCGCTCCCCCGCAGACGAGATCCTTCCTCTCTCCGTCGTAGAGGGCCGCCTGCCATGGCCACTCCCCCTTCGTCGCTGGCTTCCCCCCCGCCGACAGTTTCACCTGCTGCACCTTCCTGCCGCATTCTAGGAAAACATAATAATTTAACTTAGTATTATTTATAATAAAAAACCTAGTAAAAAATTTTTAATTAGCAAATTGTACCAAGTAGAAAATTGTTCAAAGTGAAAAATGGTACTTACAAACGTACAAACTTAAAAAGTACTTTGGTTCGGATCACGTCAAAGTAAAAATTGACAGACCGGCCTCGCAGAACGGACTGTGACCCGTCCATTGTTCGCCCTTCCTGCAGGTCCGAACGCTCGATCCCCTCAGGATGTAGAACTGGTCGCACTTGTAGGTCACGGTGCTTCCGAGCGC